TTCAAAAACTATACAACTTCTTTATAATATTAAAATTATGCATAACTCTGTTTATATCAAATATAAATCTAGCATTTTATCATTAATTACTAATTTATATAGTAGATCTGAATTAAAAAATATTGTCTTTAATTTTAGCAATAAATAATTTTCTATTGCTCTTAAAAAATTCAATAATAAATCCTTTAATTTAAATGATTATTAAAAACATATTTCTACTTCAAAACTTAAAATCAATAAAGAAACATTTGAACTTATTATTGATTTTTTTTTAGCTGATTCAAAATTTAAGTCTTTATTATATTTTTTGTATGACAAAATAAAATTTCAGATCTTTTCTGTAACTACTATATTTAACCAATATTGAAAAAAAATTTAAAACAATATATTGTAATGAAATAATTAATTCTATTATATTATCTAATTTTTATTATTTTATTATTATTTTAGCTTCTTTTGATATTATTTTAGTATTATTTATGAATTTATTTTTGAAATTATTATTTATAGGAAGGAATAGTGTTATAATTCAAGATAATTGTACGTCAGAGATCACGCGACCACGTGATTAACTTGTGAATTCTCATTAATCCTTTAAATTTCTATAGTTTTTGTATGGCGAACTATCTTCGGAGCAAAATATCTCATTATTTAATTAGAAAACTAGTCAAAGTCATTCTATCAAATTATAAGAAAAATAACTAGAAGAACATATTTTATTAGGTCACTAAAGCTAATTACTTAATATAATTTTAAGTAATTTAGAGATTTTCATTCTGAATAAAATTATTGTTCATTATTGATAAATGAGAAAAGAATGATTTACAACTAAAAACAATATATAAGAATGGCTATTTTGTCTTTCTGGAGGACAATATAGTTATAGATTTCTCATAATTAGAATCATTATATTATTTGACCTTTATTCTTTTCCTAATTCTTTAATAAACTATTATTTATCTTTATTATTAATTTAATAAATCTTTGTTAATAAATTCTTTTATATTTTTATAAATTAATTGATATAAATATTTTGGCAGACTTGTACATATATTATCATATAAGGAAGACAGTTCTTGTGGTGCTAATTGTCATTGAGTTGCTAAGCAGCAATATATTGTAATTGGCACAGAGAAAACAATCACTTTACTATTTGTGTTTAAAGCTGGTCAAATGATATTCTAATTATTTATAAAAGTTAATAAAGAATTTATTTATCAAGAGAATTCTTAAAAAGCCCTAATCTTTGGACACAAAGTCTTTTAATAAAAGGATTATACATCAAACCTTATATCCCCCTCTCAAACTCTTCTATTATAACAATATCTTATTAAATAGTATTAAATAGTTATAAATATCTACCTAATATTAGAAAAAATAAAATCAAATATTAAAAATATTAAACTTTTAGTATATCTATAGTAATTATATTTATATTGAATAAAAATATTGATAATTATAATAAATAGATTAATAAAAATTTCTTCAAAAAAGATATTAGCGGAAGTTGTTAATAGATTTAGGAGAATAGATTGAATTGAGAAGTTTATTAAAAATTTATTTAAGTTTAGTAAATAATAAAATATTAATTGTAAAGCAGTATGATTTTCAAATTAGTTATATAATTGAATTATGGTTTCTATTGCTGTTTTAATTCAATTAAAAAAGTCTTATATTGAGAAAATTCTATTTATAATATTATATAAAAATTTAATAACTTGTTATATATGCAAAATTGGTATTTTATTATTGTCTGATTAAAAGATTTAATTAATAATCTTGATAATTTGTTTAGCTTCTTTAAAAGTTTTTAGATATTTGAAGATATGTTAAATATCTTTAATATAAAGCTTATATCTTAAGCATAAAGTATTTAAATATTGATTGGAATATAATTAATAAAATATTGTATTTGATAAATAGGTAAAATTTCTGTTAAAAGTTTAATTTTAAATATGATTAAGTAGTTATATTTGTTATTACACAATTTTTTGATATTCTTATTGGATTTGTTAATAATTTTTAGGCCATATGAAATATACAAGTATTTAAAAGTTTGAAAAATAAAGAAACTTTACAAATTATATAATCTTTGATAATATTAAAGATCTTTTTGCATTATATAACATTACTATCAAGATATATATTATTAATTAATAAATTTTTTGAAAAATACAGTATAATAAGAAGTTATTCTATTCACAATTATCAATCACTCTTCCCACTGATCTCTTGACCAACATTCCAAAACGGCGTTCAGACTAAAGCATGTCTTTATTCTTAACAAAACCTATACACTTTCTTTAATACAACTTGACAAACCTTGGCAAGACACTTCCACCCTCCACTGTTTTATTTATTCCTTTAACAAAGTATAAACAAGAAGGTTCCTTAGTTTTTACTCACCCAAACTCTGATGACAAGAAAAAGTTTCCCAGGGAAGAAGACAGTTTATTTGGCTTCCCTTCTTCTTTTCACCATCATGATATCAGTATCTCTATCAGAAAGAACAACATCAAAAGCTGAAAGGTTGTTGGATACCTTAAACTCCAGAAACCTTCACAACATAAATACAGCTACCTTCCTAGCGTGTTTTCAAAATTCTTCAGTTTTTCTGGGGAAATTTGCCTACCTCAGTTTGACCCTGAATTTTTTGGTTACACCGGATCTGATGGATTTCCATTGGCTGAAAATCTGGATTGGACAACAATAAACAAATAATAGATAAACAAAACAAGAACACATCCCTATTCGTACTATACAATTCTGATGATGTCATCACTTCAGACAGGAAAAACAAGGTGACGAGGTGTCTGTTTTGATATAGTTGGACTTGTATGCATACTCTCTACCTCTCCTTTTCCTCTTCTTTTTCCTTTATTTTTTTCCTACATTTATAAATACAAACAAGGTGAACAGAATGTTTTTCCCCATGGGGTTTTTTGGTTCTGATCCATGGTTTGTGAAGGACCACAAACTGTAAACCATTCAACAAGACCTTCAACATGACTCCTCCTGCCATAAGGGCTGTCAAGCCCGTCAGCGATATCCACCATTCTTATCTTTAGTGAAGGTACTCAGTTGATAATGTTTGCCAAAATAAAAGACTCCCCTCAAGACATAACCTAACTTTGGAAGAGTTGCGTCTTTTTAAATAAGCAGCCTATGCTTGAAGTTAGGCACTATCTAAAGAATTGGATCATCAACCCTGCCATAGGTTTTAAGGTATTGGCTAGACCTAGGTTCCATCTGCTTTTCAAATTGTAATCCTCCAGGCAGCCACCTAGATGAGAAAATATTTCAAGATGCTGGCAAGGACAACAGTATTAGATTTCCATCCAAGTATGAAAGGATTGTATTTAGACCACAATAAAACTTTATTTCCTTGGGTGCAAGAAATAAGTGACTGAAATCGTATCATCTAGTTAATACAATTACTTTAGAAAGATAGTGAAAATTGAACCTGGGACCTTGGGCAATTGGAATAGGATTAATAAAGCTAGCTGTTGAAACCATTCCTCTCTGCTGTAGCCGTTAAAGTTGCCGAAGAAGAAGTCTCCCCTCTCTCTTTTGAAAAGAATAGAGACACAATACTCCGATGGGTAATCTGTTAGGTGTTGAGAAATCTTAATGAAAAAGTTTACAAATTTGAGGTCGGAAGGTGTAGAAAAGTTGGTTCGTTTCATAAATTTTTTTTAGGAATCAGTAGTGCTTGATAGATCGATCAAGAAATATTATTGCTTTTGCTAGTGATAAGCCTCACAGTAGAATATAGTTTTTAGTGATATTCAAATTTATGCCACAAGTTTAAGTTAGTTACCTTTAGATGTATCGAGTATCGACAAGGAAATTAATGTATATTTCAATAAATTTGAATAAAGATGTAAACCATCCGTTTAAAAAAAAAAAAAAAAATTAACAGATATATATAATTTAGTAGATATAAAAACAATAGATAATTTAATTTATATAATTTTAAAATTTAATAAAAGTAATAAATATTTATTAAATATTTATTTATTTTAATATAATTATTAATACTTTGAAGATTTTTAAATTTTTTTAATATAGTGATGATTAACATATTAAATTATAATTGAATTTTCTACAAATTTGAAAATATAAAATTAGGTGGTTTAAAACTGATAACAGGATTTTCATTTTCTTGATATTTCTTATTCAGCATATGGACCTACCCCTGTAATGTAAGTTGGTATTTTAAAATAAAAATAGCAATAAGTTATAATTAATTTGTATATGTATAAAGATTGTTAATATAATAGTAATACAAGCATATATTCAATAAAAGCCCATATTTAATACCTATTTGCAAATAAAAAAAATAATTAATATTATACAATAATAAATCTATTCTTTTATAATAAGATAATTAATGAATAGCTAGATTATATAGGCAACATGGTGATTTTAATATTAAGAATTCAAAAATTATATACAATAATTTATTACTACTTGAAAATAATTTAGCTTTAGTATAAATTTTACTGTATTGTATTTTTATACTACTGTTTTTTGTATACAAAATTAATAAACATATCAGTATACAAATAACTCTGTCCTAATATTGAAATCAAAAAATAAAATAATATAACTGTATTATTTTATTAATAACAAGTAATTGTTGAAGTTGCATTTAAAGATTTTACTTAAAATATCGGAAATATTATATTACACGACATATTTTTAGTACTGTAAGTTAAATTTAAAAATTTTACTTTCTTGGGACATGATATACTGTATATCATGATAAAGTTGCGAAAAACAGAAAACTGCGGGACTTGCGGGACTAGGATTATAAACTCCGCTTCTTTCGAATCAACCAATTACATTCTAAAATTCTAAAAGGCAAAGTTGTATAAAAAGATGAACTAACATCTACAGTATCAAAAAACCAAATGCGTCCCTTACACAGGCAATATTTAATACAACTTGCCAAAAATTACTTACATAAATATTCAACACGTTTACAGAAAAAAGGAATGACGGACAGTTGTTGTAGTCAGAAGGCATTGCAAAAACAATCAGGTGATGATAGTGATGATCGACCCAAAAGATCTCAAACGACTCAAACGACCCTTCCAGACGTGCAAACGCTTTCTTCCCTAACCTTGGAACCATATGTCGATACTCATACGCATTTACACTATGTCATTGACCGTCTACCCGAAAAATTTGGAGTAGACAGTTATCAGGATCTTAAAGAACGTTATTGTCCACCCAATTTGGAAGCTTGCGTTAACGTTCTTTGCGATCCGCTGTCCTTCAATAGCAACCAGATTTTTCCCAACACGTGTTCTGATTGGAAAGTTATGGCAGACGTACCTTTCATGTATCTTGCCGCCGGTGTTCACCCACACAACTCAAAAGACTACAATGATTACATTGAAGATCGAATGGTTGAGATACTTCAACATCCGAAAACTGTGGCACTGGGAGAAATCGGGCTAGATTACCACTATGATTTTTCACCAAAAGACGTTCAAAAAAGAGTTTTCATTAAACAAATAGAGATCGCCAAGGCGATGGGGAAGCCAATTGTGATTCATACTCGTGAAGCAGAAGAAGATACTTGGGAAATTTTGACAAACCACGTTCCTCAGGATTGGAAGATTCATGTACATTGTTTTACTGATTCGCCAAAATTCGCGAAACGTTTACTAGATCATTTTCCAAATCTTTATATTGGAATCACTGGTATCGTGACTTATGGATCAGCTAGAAATACACAAGAAGTAGTTAGATCTATTGTGCCCTTAAACAGATTTCTTTTGGAAACTGATGCTCCGTATATGACACCTTCTAGAATCAATAGAAACAAGAGAACATCTGAGAGAGTCAATGTATGCCATTCAGGGATGATTCCCTTTGTGGCTCAAAGAATTTCCGAACTTATGAAAAAAGAGATTGATGAGGTGATGCGGGCTGCAAGAGAGAATACAAGAAATATGTATGGCATATAAATTTATCAAAATATTATATAACAAATAATTTATGGAGAGTTCAAATTAGGAAATTTTGATTTTAACCACGAATTTTACTATAAGAGCTTCTTAGATTCATAAAGTCTTGTCAATATTTAATTTAACATATTGTTGTAAAATTATCTTGAAATTGAAAGAAATGTTTATTTTGATTTGAAAGTTAACTATAGTGAAAAAGGATCCAAATTTAGTGAGATTTTTCTACTGTATCAATTGTGTCAATTTCGATAAAAATTTTAGTCCTACATAGAAATTGCTCGATCCGTATGGAATTCGTCTAGCTCAGATGAGTTGGGTAATGAATCAGCATCAAAATCCTCTCCCGATGCCTAATATGAAGAAAAAAAAAAAAAAAAAATTAGAACCAAAACTTATTTTGACAACAGATTCAACGTGGTTATATTTCGACATACAACTAATGCGGCCCAACGTTTGTATAATCTTTCTGTAAGGATAAAGTGTCGACCTTCGCCCAGTTGAACGCAGCCTTCCGGATGAAAATCGCACTTCACTGTATATTTCATTTTCAGATTTGAATATGCATTCTCATATCGAGATTTGAAACTTTCGGGCTCCTGGAGTTGGATCAAAAATGAATAAATAAAATCATCAGTGGGTTTAAAAAAAAAAATAATAATAAATCATAAACTTCATAATAAATCAATGCACATCATCAGCAAAGAGCGTTTCTTGTATATACTGGACATCTTGGTATCTTCGGCGCACTTGAAAAAATAGAATAAATAAATATGAGAATAGTACGTATATGAGGTTTATGAGAGAATTTTTTTTTTTTAAAAAAAAAATTCACTTTTTGGAGGGACATAATCTTCATCGTCTTCATCGGAATCGGATCCAACGATCATAGGATCGAATTTCTCTGTTAAAACTGATTTGGAACCTGATGACTCTTCTTGTGAGTCAGTTTCATCATTTCCTTCATATGAGTCGTCTAGTAATAAGGAGATGAATAATAAAAGAAAACTCGATTGATACGATAAAACACATTCTCACCGTCTAATAAGTTAGAAAAAGTCTCGTTGTTCCCGCTCGCAACGTCTAGGAATGGAATAGTGCCGAGAAATTCAAGATTTGGTTCAGCAGATATAGAATTATTCGGTTGCGTTGCTTCAATGACCACCGGAACTCTTACATTCGTCGATACCTCCGTGAAACGATTCTCAGCGTTGATCTGTTCCGCACGCCAGTTCCCTTTCTCTGCAGGGTGTGGTGTTCCAAGAGAAGATTCTTTTTCTGCTTTAATTTGCTTCAGTAAATTCGTGACATCAGGGTGTTTGCAGACAAGTTCCCAATCTTTATTTTTAAATAATTTTTCGTGATACCTCCTGAGGCCGTTAAGATACCACTCGATGCTTTTTGAATTATTAGTTGCCATTTTTGCGCGAATGTAATTACAAAGATTTTCCATTGATATTGGAAAGATGGAATTATCAGAGTTTTTCCATCCTTTCGCCTCAGCGAGTATAATATATGATCTTGATACCGTCTCTCCATATTCTTTTTTTTTCTTTGTTTCAGTTGAATCTGTGGACATTTCGGAGGCATCATCTAAACTATGGCTATGATTAGAGCTTGCAACAGTTTTTTGAAACAAGAGTTGTGTTGGTGCGTCTAGAATGGGAGGAGCTGTAATAGCTTCCGTTGACATACTTTCAGTCTTGATTGAGACTGACGGGGAAGCCGTAGAGATTGGAGCAGTCGTGAAACTTTGTTCGACAGGTATTTTGTTTAAAGAATTTGTTCCAGTGTAATTTTGCATATTTTTTTTTTATTTTTTCTATATTTTATCTCGTAGATAGAGGAGTAACTCACGTATCAAGGATGGTCGCGTTAAAGAAAAATGTTCTATAAATGAAAATTTCATTTTTTTTATATTAAGTGACACCAGAACAGACCATACGTGATATACTATGCATATGCCAATTAACAATTACTGATAAAATTTTTAATCAACATACTAAAATCAAACATGGCATTGTTTTTTGATATCATTTCTCCAATTCTATGAGGAGCGAATTGTAATATGCCTGATTCCGAGTCTTCCTTGACAACGAAGGCTATACCTTCATCAAAAACTTCCCTGTCCACTGCTGAAGGTAGTAAGACTCGCTTACTTCCACCGATTAACTTAACATTCCCATATGCCGCGCAACCAGATATCAGTTAATATTCTAATTTTTAAGTTTAACGCGAGTTTTTAGCCCTTTTTAATCCTTTTCTTTTATTGTGCCCAAAGTTATTTCAAATCAGAAGGATGTTTACTATCAAAAAGTATTGGAAGAGCAATTTTCCGAAGTTTTTCGAATACTTTTCGGTATTAGCTAGTATAATTTTCGATGTTATTCAAAAAGTTTATATGACTCTGATTTCTTCTCTTTCACCAAAAAACTCAATAATATAACTCAAAAGGCACACGTAAACAACACTTATATCAGAAAGAGGTAAACCTGATGTCAGATCTTTTTTATTTTTGTCTGACAACTTTGTTAGGTAAGTTTTAGAAAAATGTTTATTCTTCCTTATTGAATTCTACTGATTCATTCTCCTGGGCCCTTTTAGGCACTCAAACTTTAGGAGAAGAATATTGCGACATAATGCAAATCTCGGAATCAACCAAGAAAGTTCCTATTATTAGAGTCAGTAAACACGCAGTGGTTTTGGTTAACAAGATCCATTATTACCGTGGATCTAAACATTCGCTTCATTGTTACACCAGAAACGCGCAACGTTAATATTTTGGCACGTGATATTTCCTTACTTTTACACTAAAGGGATTAACAAAATTCGCAGGAATGCACGATCGGTTCCTAAAGTAGATTACCAAGTCCAAGATAATCCGTCAAACGAACATGTCAAGTTGCGAGAATTCGTTAGAAATTCGGTCACGAAGATTCAGTCTTTTTTCAAAAACCATTTTCATACGCTGCATCTCGCTATCTTTTATTTTTACGGTGCTTATTACGACTTATCAAAAAGAGTGATGGGAATCCGATATGTATGTTGTGGTTTTCGACTCAAAGGTTGCATCAATAATTATACTAATCTTCTCTGTGCTTTAGATATTTACTAAACAACTGGGTCCGGGAGAACAACGTATTGGATACGAAGTTTTAGGATTTTTACTTGCTGTTCAAATTTTAATTCAAGCCTACCTTTATCAAAAAAAACGCACTGAAGATTCTTCTGTTAGTAATAACAAATATGACAATGATAATCAAGATGATGAAAATAACGAGTAATGGTTTTTACATTCAACGAATCTCATATTATCATTATTATTTTAATTAAACTTTTGATGATTCTTTGTGAACTTTAGCGACGAATTAAATTTTCTTTTATCTTCAACTTCTGGTCTTACATCACAAGAGGCTGCGGTTCTGAAGTGCACACTTTGTCTCTCGATTCGTAAAAGCACAACAGCTACTCCATGCGGCCATCTGTTTTGCTGGTCATGCATTGTTGAATGGTGTCATAGTAGAGTAAGCATTTATATTAATTTGTACATTGAATATTTTGACGTATTACTAAATTTTATTTTTTTCTACATCTTAAGTCCGAATGTCCATTGTGCAGACAACACATCAATGCTTCACATCTACTTCCTATATATAACTATTGACTAGACCCAATTAACTTTTCACGAGGGCTTTCGGGAGAAAGAAAGAAAATAATATGCATTATCTTATTAGCGAAAAGTAAATACAACGATGGACTCAGTCTCCTGCAATAAATATTTCCATATAACTTGTATCCAACGCTTCATGGAAGAGATATGTTTATACAGTTGACAGCTCCCTTGAAATTGAATCAATATGAATAAATAAGTTAGTCTTCACTATGCATATCGTATCCCATATAAGTTCAAGTTCCAAAGTCAGGCCAAAAACCTGACCCTCCGTTAAATATTTGAGCAAGATATTTCTGGCAAGATCTTTTCGCTTTGTAATTTGTCATATTTCTTAGATAATTTAAATATTTTGCCGTTGCCCCACTCGATTAATTGACCGTCAGGGTCATTACTGGTCATAAACGTGTAAACACCTGGATCAAGCGAGATTACCTTTCCCCGAACATCATCTTGGTTATCAATGGTATCCAAAGAAACAGAAACACAAGTAAAAATTGATATCTGATGATCATTCTGAGGTGATAATATTTTTTAGAAACACGTTCTAGCAAAAAATCGAGATTGTTTGTGTTCAATCCTTCGATTGGTATTTCATTTGAAAATTATTTCCATGCAACTTTTTGTTTGTTTTGTATATGGTTACCAATTGTTGAATAGGGGTCTCTTTTACCCAGAGAAGTTTTCCAGTTGTAAAACACTCATCATTTAAATAGTGCTTTTATATAATACTCATGTTGGTAATTCCAACATTTTGCATTATTTTAAGAATCTTGTCGTATATTCATCTTACAGTTTTCATTCACTTTCTTAGCTTTTTTCTTTCTTCAGATATTGGATAAATTCTTATCTTTTGTGTTTTTATTTTTCTTTGTTATTTCAATTTTTTCAAGTTGACTTGATCCTATAACATTTGAATCAAGTATTATAATTTTCTATTTAATAGACATATACAAATTTGTAGAGTTGATTTTTTCTAATAATTACAACTTTTTTAATATTTCTTTATTATTGTTATAAATAGATATGAAATATTTGTATTTTCAATTAAAATTTAATTTAATATTTTTGATATTTATAATTTGAATATTTTCATTTAAAATATTTGTATTACTTGTTAAAAAAAAATTTTTTTTTAAGCCAACTTTTGTATAATAAATATTTTATTATTATTATTCTTCTTTTTGAAATAACTTTTGTTTTTTTAATTTTTTTGTATTTTACAATATTTTATTATTATTATTATTTTGTTTTAATATATTAAAATATAACTTATTTACAAAAATCAAAACTCTCTCCTGATCGCGTCCGTTTTGTTAAAAATTTTCCTTTTATGGTAATTTTAAGCAAGAAAAAATG